ATCACAGGAAGACAACTCATTTAACCCATGTGCAACATTCTACCTAAAATATGTTGCTTTGTTAAGTGCTTTATTAAGTTTTGTGCTGTTGTGCTTGGTTTATCAGCACACATTTAGCTTTTATTTGCATTGCAATTCTCAATGTCCATCCCAGACTGCCCGGGCATGGGAGACAAAAATGTCAGCCACAAATGGAATATCTTGGGAAAAGGACAGCAGCACCATCACATCAAACACCCGAGAAAATCCTGCAGGGATAATCCTTTGCTGGATCCTCCAGCCCCAACAGGAGTGAGCCCTCCAGGGGCAGCAGGCTCTGAAGGGTGCACACACTAGAGCAAGGCACAGGTCATCAAGAATTTGGTCTCCTCTTCTCCTGACTTTGATGAGATGGTAAAAAAACATGGGAGTGGAGAAATGGGAATCGGGGTCTAAAAAAAAGTCAAAGGACAAGTAGAAGGTAGAGCAGTGCAGCAGGTGGTATTTGGAGGCTGGATTGCGCTCCCACCCTAAAATCAGACAGCAAAGAGCTCGACAAATGCACTGCCTGGATCCGCTTCTGGGCAGACATTATTTGGTGGCCACTGCCATCTAGTGGCAYTGTCACCCGCACAGGGCCCAGAGACCGAGTGAGGACTCTTCACTCTGTCACCCAGCACAACCTAAAACAAAGGCACTCTCTGGGCTGCACAGCGGCAGAARAGAAGCAACAAGAGAACCAATCTGTGCAGTTTTCCCCAGCTGAAACTCGCTTGAAAAACATCCTCTGCCTAATTCCATCCTGMAACCCAGGACTTTGATGCCTGCCCCTGTCAAGACATTATTGCCAGTACAAGAGAACAAAGCAGGTTCTGCTGCATTCAGCGCACACTTGTAACTAAGATTTTTTACATGTGGCACAGTTGCCCTTTAAAAAAAAGGGAAATTTAACATTTACAAGAAGAATAAGGCCTGGAGAGGTGTGAAGTTTTCAGTCCTGATGTGTGGCTGAGAAAAAGCAGCACCTGTACCAGCAGAGAATTAGTTTGGGGTGTAGGAGGTGCAGATCAGGTGTTTCTGGCATTATCCCAGCTGTCCCTGCTGTCTCCGAGGCTGTTCCAACAACATTTCCATCCATTAGTACTGCTCACTAGCAGATCAAACAGTAAAGCCTGGGATTAATGACTCAGATGTTCCAGGSTCAGTCTGCATCCAGGCCCCTGCTGAAGGCTGACGTTTAGGATCTCCAAACTGTTGTTGTGCCCTGTTGTGGCAATGCCACCATACCAGGACACTCTGTGACACTGYGTTACCTTCCTTGAGGCAAACCCTGGCTCCTCCTGCAGACTGAACCCCTCATCACTCCCCAAGGCACTACAGCCTCTTATTTGCTCAATGACCCATCACCACTGACGGGGGTTCCAGGGCCACCAGATCAACAACCACTGTTACAATATCAACTTCTCCTGCCTTTAATGGCAGGTCTTAAATCTTGAGTATGGCACCATTTGTACTTGCCTTTCATTTTTTTATTTTGAGGTCTCTCTGCCCTTAAGGAGAATGAAGCCTCAATCAGTGCACACAACACAGCTGCAGATGAAATKATAAGAAATGTCTGTTTGAAAGCCMGGTTCCTTCTTCTAGGGGAAARGGAACAGCTGRGGTTRCAKTCCCAAYAATCCTGAKCTTCYCTTTGCCACTGCAGAAAGATCTGGACACGTATTTGGCAGGAGATGATGCAGAGCACTGTTTTCATGGTCTGCACACAATCCTTTGGGCAGGAGTCATCACGGGTTAATCCAGGCAGCACAACAGCAAAAAACATTTCCTCTAAGGGCAAATGAAACCTTTTCCAATCTTTCCCTCCACAACTCAATGGCATAGCAAGGTTTCTGTAAAAACACGGGTGACACATGCGAGTTATATCCTCGGAGATGTAACACCCACTCTCAGGTGTCCAGCAGAAGTCAGTCTGGCCATGTCTTATTTTTCCCCAGCAGGTTATGTGGGAGAGCACACACAGAGCAGGCAGCCCTGTATGAGTACACCATCCGTACACCAGTAATGAGTAATTACAACTTTCAAATTCCTTACCCCAACTCCTGAGAAGATGTGAACAAATCTTGCTGCTGTACGACCCCTGCCCACTGTCTCCAGTGGTATTTGCTSCTGTGGGCTTCCTCATATTGACTGTAGGCTTTCTCCCAAAGTCTTTTTCATTTTGGAACATGTCAAGTAAATGGAAACACTGACAGGGAGGGTAATTTAAGCATCTGGAACCCAAACWACCATTAAGACATTGGCACACACAGGAGCACATGCTCATATCCTAAGGAATGAGAGCCAATCTGAAGAACAATAGGCAATTTTCCTCTGTCTCCTGCTCTTTTCATGGCTCATACTACCTRTCATAAGCAAATATTAAAGAGCCCATACTGCACCATGGCAGAGAGGAGGGGGAAGCACAAAGTATACTACAGAACATTCTCCCTTACTCTGCCCATCAAAGGGAATTTAATCTCCAGCTGTCTAACATTTAAGAAATACCAAGTAAAATYGTGAGAATAGACTGCAAAATGCCGGGTTTTGCCATTATATTTGCTACTGAGGGAAATATTTTTGATGGGCTGACCTTTGCATTGAGCTGYGTTCATACTGAAATGCATTCTGCAGACCCTGAAAAAAGCTGCTCCTTTTGACAGCTGAACTCAAYACATAAGAACTATTTAAGAGAAGCTGCTTTACAAACAGTGGGTGGCAGRTAACAATTAGGTTTTTTTCTTCTGTTATGGTACGGGGGGTATGGGAAATTATTGCCATTAGTCACAGTGTGCTGGATGCAGCAACAAAGAAGGACCAGGCTCTCTCTGTCTTCTTTCCTATGTTTTTTTCCCCTCTGTATCCACACACACTGCCTTTACCCCTTCATACACGCATACTTATTCTACCGTCTGTTCCCGATTTTGTCTTCCTCTAATTCAACCCTAAATATTTTAAATATTTAAATGTGCTAAACGCAAATCTGGGCAGCTTCCTGAGCTGTTGGAAAGCGTTTTGCATTGGTCCTTGAAGATCAGGATAAAAAAATTGAATCTAAGCAGGATGGGGATTAAAAGAGGAGGCACAGGGAAGAGAGGGGGCACAGCACAGGGCCTCCAGGAGCACTCCAGGGACAGCAGGAGTGGGAACAGTGGGAATGAGGGAGCTGGGAATGAAGGAAAGCAGGAGCTGGGACAGAGAATGGAAGAGGGAATGTGGGAGCCAGGACAGAGAGAATAGAGAGTTGTTCAGCCTGGAGCTGGGACAGAGAATGGAAGAGGGAATGTGGGAGCCAGGACAGAGAGAATAGAGAGTTGTTCAGCCTGGAGAAGTGAAGGCCTCCAGCACGACTTTACTGTGGCCTTTCAGCACCTGAAGGGGAGAAGTGTATGCAGTGATAGAACAAGGGGTAACTGCCTTAAGCTGAAAGAGGTTTAGTTTACATTAGACATTAGGAAGCAATTCTTTACTGTGGTGGTGGTGAGGCAGCAGCACAGGTTGCCCAGAGAAGCTGTGGAAGAATCCCTGGAAGTGTTCAAGGCAAGGTTGGATGGGGCTTGGAGCAACCTGGTCTAGCAGAAGGTGACCCTGCATATGGGACCAGGGGATTCCTCCTCAATGTAAAGTAAGCCAATCATTTCGATTCTGTGCAAAAAAACTCTCCTTTCAGTATRATCACCTAAATCAGCTATGCCTAGAAAGTTCTAGTCCAGAAAGCTTGCACTCTTGAAGGCAATTTCTACATAAATGAGAAGAATTACACACAAAAAGAAAAAATTCAGAACACGATTGTATAYTAATGATTCATTCATTTACAGTTGTCTTCAATACAAACTGAACATACTCTGTAACAATCAAAATGTCAAATGAAAGTCACCTTAAGCAGCAATTTTACAAACATTCATAGTCGATATTTTTTAATACAAAAAGCCCCTAAGAAACATGATCCATGGAAAAATGAAGGGTTACATTAAACTTATCTTCAAGTTGATTTCCAATATATCCTGTTCACCCTCTATATGTGAAATCGAGAAAGTGTAAGTAATTACAGTAAGACCAGCATAGAAAGGAGCATGAAGAAATCCAGCTTGCAAGTTAAGGCWGCCAAAAAACTAGAAAAACAGGTTTTTTCCACTAAAGTGTCAGTACAGCTTTTAAGCAGGTGAATGCCAAACTTTTGGCAGCTCCTTCACTGGAGCCACACTCCCACACACTCAGCTCTTCTGCAGCTGCAAGGGAGCATTTCTCTCTTTGGCCGTATCTGAAGAGTCCGCAATCTGGCCGGGGAGAACTTCTTTTTCCAGTYGCTCGTCGAACTCCGTTCTTCCCCTGAACACACACCACAGCAACAGCCCCGTGCACAGCACACTGAGAGACAGCACCTTCACCAAGGGCCTCTCATGGTCGCTGCCCATGGAGCGGCTAACGCTCCAGAACCGCGGGCTGGCTTTGCTGCCGGAGAAGGGAATGGGCTTTCCGCCCACGGGCTCCGCACCGTCCGTGTYCCGCGGCCGCGCCAGCCCCCGCCGGGGC